CCCTCTCCCTCTCTCTCTCCCTCCAGCTGCGTCACTCTATTTAAATTCACTCGGCTCGTCGCTGTCGGCATCTTCCACCCGGCGTCCGAAGAACTTTAAGCAAAACAAAAACATTAAAGAAACGCCGGATACGGTGTTTTTATGTTTTAACTTAACTCAAAGCGGTTTTTTTTTCTTCTCAAATTTAATTTTCCTCCCTCACCATGTCTGCAGAGATGAGGCGGAGCAGCACCATTGCGGTAAGTGGGAGAAGAAGGAGAGAGGAGATGTTGAAACGCTTCTCGCCTCGTCATTGTTCACCAGCCTGTAGCTCCTCTGCTGTGTGTAGTGAAGAGAAAGTCCCCTGTTAGTATGAGCTGTGTACCGCCGCCAGTGTGTGGCCATTCATTGAGTTACTGCTTCGACTCGTTGTTGAGTTGCTGTTTTGTCTGGTGTGAAACTTCGAGCACCCTTTTTTTTGGGAAGCATTGTTGGCTTTTTTTTTTTTTTTTTTCTGTGTAAACTTCCTCTAATCCGTCGGGGTATTGTCTTTTGTCTTTACACGTGCACAGGCGTTTTCTCTTCAATCAATATGATACAGGTGTCGCTGGGTTTGTGTGACACCACCTGATAAAAATGACCTAATCAGTCCCTAAACATGGTGGAGGGTTAACAACAGGTTTCTACTCCTCTTTTTAAATGGTAAAAAAAACGTGAGCTGCTGGGAGTCCTGTATTTGACTGTTTGTCTATATTTAGCCTGGCTTAATCCTGTCTTATGTAATGTGACAGAAACATGGTACAGACGGCGTGGCTGGCTGTTGTTGTGACTCTGTGGGTGATTTTCAAAGTAAAGTTAATTGTGTGTTTTAGGGTAGGATCAATAAAATGCATCTGCTCGTGAATCTAGCCACCTGAAAGGCCACATTTTCCACCTCAGTGACACAGCAAAAGGTAGCTTTCACAGCTTAAAGTGCCAACAATGGGCCTGTTTTAGCTGCATCTAAAATGCTCTAATAATAGGTTATTGTTTCAAGAATCAAAGACAGCTGTATCCTTGCCTCCAAACGCTGAAGTTGTCGAGCTTGTTTCAGGCTGATCTGTGATGCCTTCTGTTCCTCTCTCATCTCTTGTTTGTGTTTTTTTTTTAAAGGATGACAGCAGCTGTAGTGGCTGCCTCATGCAAAAATCCTAAAAATACAGTTTTATTGAGTGTCTGTGTGGCGGTTTTCAGTAACATGCCTCTGTCCCCAGGTCCCGATCAAGAACATCGAGAGGGAGCTGATCTGCCCCATCTGTAAGGAGCTCTTCACCCACCCGCTGATCCTGCCCTGCCAGCACAGCGTCTGCCACAAGTGTGTGAGGGAGCTGCTGATGCTAAACCATGAGGACTCTTTTGACGCCGGCTCCGAGTGCTCCCTGCCGGGCAGCCCCAGGTCCAGGGTGCCCTCGCCTTCCATGGAGAGGCTGGACAGGCTTGTGAGATCAGGTGGGTCTCGGGGTAAGGAACCAAAAACACACTTTTTTTTTTTGGTTTTTCAATGTGTTATTTACAGGGAGGATTTTTATTATGTGCAGCTTAGCGCAGGGTGGTGGATCTCACATTTCTCCGAGGTTAAAAGCATTTCACAACAGCGTGCTGAAGCATTAGTAGGAGCAGTGCTCGTGCTACTGTTGGGCCGGCCAGTCAGCCTGATTATGTGAGCTGATGGAAGCTAATAACCAGGCGATGGTTACACAGGAAATGAAAGTATTAAATGCATCTTAGGCCATTTGTGATCTTCCAAGTTTTTGTGCCGGTAATGCCAAGTTCCTCCCAATTCCCTTCCTTTTTTAGTCCTGCTTTCATCTCTGCATTCAACAGGTTTTAATGGCTGGAGCCTGGGATAATCTCTACAGGGAAGATGAAAGACTTAAAAATATTAAAGGGAAATGTTACAAACAGAAACTGAAGGCATGTTTGATTCCCTAACAAACAAAAAGGGTAGTGTAACTGTGAAGGGGATTTCCTGAATCAACAAGCAAACCTTGAACTAATGCAAATGTAAGGTTTAGGGGGCGAATGGAAGACAAAAAAAGTGTGCATTATTGTATGATATCTGGGTTTTAGTGTGGCGCAGACGACCCGCCTCCTCCCCCTCTTGTCCTATATAAACAAGAACAAACACAGAAATGATTAAATAATTTTACCGCTCAGCCGTAACATTGTCAGTCATCACGTCTACCTCTAATCCTGTCTGCCTTTACAGGCTTCATTAAAGAGACAGCAGAGGAACTTGACAAGCTGTAGTTTTGTCTACCAGGAGAAAAGAAACGTTGACAAGCTCTCTCAAGCCCTAATTGTCTTCACTGTCTGCTTCTAATGGCTCGGGGGCATCAAACATCCCCTTCAATCATGCAAGGGCACAGGCATCCATTAGAAAATATTTCAGGAACAAGGGGAGCAGAGTAGCTATCATTTTCGCTCCACCTTTAAGCGGATATAGAGGCATATGTGTGTGCGTTTATGTACACGAGTGAACAAAGCACATCTGTGAGCTCCTTTAAGGTATTTTAAACTCTTAAAACCAAGCTGAGGGAAAAGCTGCGGTTGAAGGGGGGGGTGGCGGCACAGATAGCTAAGTTAACTTGTCACAATATTTTTATGTTCCCTGCTAAACACATGGCATTGCTGCCGGCAGGCTTGAGCAGGTCAATGTCTAAGCCTTGAAAACTGCTCGGTGGGGCACAAGGCCGCTTTTCTGCCCTCTGAGAGCTCTGGGCTACAGGCCATTTCCATAAAGATGTCGTCTCATTTGTACTCTTGTCCGCTCTCGTTGGCAAAACCAGTTGTTTCTGACTTCCAGACTACGTACTAATACTAAGCAGGTTTTTGAGTGTAGTGTGTTCATACTTGGGGGGGAAAAAAGGAAGTGACAAAAATTATGTATAGTGGAAATGGTCAGTGTGTGTACTAAAAACATTTAATGAGTTTAGCTTTTTTCTGACAATGTAATGCTCAAAAGAAATGGAGGCGATACTCGAGACGGCTACAGAAATATCTAAAACAATATGTATGAAATGATTAACATACTTTTGACATTTCGTACTAACTGCAAAAGCTGCATAGTATGACAATTAATTTATAGTTCATAAAGTGTATAATTAGTATGTAGTATGGAAGTGGGACACAACTCGGGCAGAGTCGTTATAGTCACTATATCGCTGCCTTTAGATGCTTTACTGGTGCTTTAAGATTTTATAGCATTTCTAGGTTTTGTGCTGAAGATAAACACTTTATGTTTTATGTTTATTCAGTATACTAGTCCCAAATCCACACTGCACATTTATTCTAAGGAGGTTTTGAGAATGTGGTAAAAAAACAGGAAATGTAGGAACTGCTCACAGCTGACAAAAAAAACCACAATCAATTTTGAACGGTGATAAAACTGCTTCATCAAGTCTTTTTGTGAAGAGTAATTTGCAGCAGCATTCAGTTGCAGTTTGACGTCCAATGGGGAAAGTGTTGTGTAGTTTTCTTGTTAGTATAAACTGTTAAATATGTTTTCTTTCTGGATGTGGGCACAGCAAATGATTTCTTTGAGTCAGAATCAAATCGCATCAAATGTATATAATAAATGGCCCATGCTATATGAAACTGTAGCATTTGGTGTTACCTGGTATCCATTTAACTTGCCAAGTAACCTCAGAGAGCATTGAGACTCTGAACCAGAGGACCAGAGCTAAAAAGATCCCCAAAGGTACAGTGAGGTGAACAGCTTTTTTCTTTTTTTTTGTGGGAGCCATTCAGCCATTCATGGTTCAAAACCTCTGAGACGGGCTCTCGAACAGAGCGTCCCTCATTCAGACTCGCCCCTTTAACCTGAATGAGTTCATTCTTCACTGGCAGGACTGCATCTGTGGACGTAGGAAATAATCAAATCCTGCTTTTGGGTAAACAAATCTCACGTTTCACTGAAAGCCACTTTGTGCTCAAGGTCTACTCTCGTCTCTGTTATTTCTGTATTTTCATTCTGACTTATGAATTGATGCACATTGTTTTGAATTGACTTAAAAAAAAATAATTTCCGTTTCACAGATAATTTAGCAGCATCTTTTCATAAATAACCTAAAAGTTAATTTAGTCAACATGAAACTACTCCACAGGTTACGTACATGTGGAATTCCCTTGGGGATTATTCAACGAGGTTGTTCCTGCGTTAAGCGCATTTAATCATCAGATTATATAATTCTGTGTGTTTAACAATATTTAGGAAACCTCAAAGTACGTTGTGAGCATATTAGCTCCCACACAGAACAACAGAGTAATTCTGCACCGCCTCCGACACTGGAAGATCAGATCATTGGTCACCATGGTGACGCAACCTGCCTGTAAGGAATGAATGAGGGATTAGATGAGGGGAGAGAGAAAGAAAAGACTTAAGGCTATATTTATCAGTGTGCAGCTTGGACAAGCCTTGGCTGGGCTTGGACAGACTTCATCAGCATTGTTTCTCAACTTCATCCTATTTTATGTTACTGGGGCTCAAACGGAGCATGACGCATTTATGTTCAACAGTTCATTCTTGACAAGTGCACTTTTTAAAGTTGGTGTAAGTAAGTGTAAAAGGAATAGTTTGACATGTTAGAAAATATTCTCATGTCCAGTTCATGTCCGACGCTAGATATTAAGCTACAGCCAGGAGACTCTTAGCTTAGCATAAAGATTGGAAGTCTCGTCATCCTTAGTTACTGTTGCTATGCCTGTCAAGCTCACATGGCACATAATAATGTAGTTTACGATCATAACGGTGTCACCTGAAATTTGTAGTAACATTTGAAACAATGAGTTCTTAATTTCAGACAAAATCAAGCCTCTCATTTCTAACTGCTGACCGTGTGTTTGTTTGTTTCTCTAGCTGAAATGACGACAATCACTGGCAGGTTTTATCAGCTTAATTTATAATAGCTAGCTAATATTAATTGGTTAAAAAACACTGTCTCCAGATGGTGGTTTAATGTTTCTAGAGGACTCATTTTAAAACAGGAATCCTGTAAAATTGACCTTTTTCACAGCAGCCCTTTTGACATGAAATAGTAGGGTAAACACAGGTGTTACCAATGACACTAAGTAAGGTTGTGTTCCATTTAGTGTAGCAGAGCCTTTCCAGTGAGCCAACATGAACAATAGCAGCACACTGTCTCTGTTTGACTTGAATAGAACAGAACTTTAGTTAGGATAATTGGTAACTCCTATGTTTACCCTATTTCATGTGCAAAAGGTCTATTGCCTTAAATACGCACTCAATGGCTTTAGGCTACCAGATATCATGATTAAAGACGAGGCTAAAGCTGCCTGTCTAAAAGGAGGGGTTTAGTTAGGCCTCAATGAACTTATATCTGGTTTATCTGTACAAAAAGTGAAGTGTAAAAGGCTGGTTGTAGTTTAGTAGTGCTGGTGCTTTTACCTTTCAGACAGAGCTAAACTAGATGTTTTTTCCAGTCTTAATGCTTCATACTTAGCACTCATGAGTTCTTCTCATCTAACTCTCAGCAAGAAAGCAAGTAAACACATTTCCCAAAATGGCAAACTATTCCTTTTTTAATGCAAATTATTCACCAGAGTCTGAAAGAAGATTTGATTAGGAATACACTTTATTACAATTTCCAAAAACAGTTGTCAAATTCAGTTTCAGTCGCATTGATTTGTCCTCAGATATAGACCACAGTGCATAGATCAAGAGTTAACTGTACTTTTACTAACTGTTCACATCCTGTATGTATTTTTAAACGCTGTTTGTATTTCACACTGAACTGCATTATTGGCATTTTTTACCTTTTTTTTTTTTTTAAGTTCTTGTTTCTCTAATGTCATGATGTTTTTTAAAAAAGAAACTGTTTTCACACGTCACTTCACGTTATATATTGTTTCATTTTTCTTGTTGGTCTCACCTCACTTCTCTGTTCATTGCTTGCAGCCACAGTGCGAAGGTCGTTCGGAAATCGAGGTAGACGCGGGCTCCGTGTTTTCACTAGCGGTAGTAGTGAGTACAGTGTTACTAGAACCCCTGTGAAACCCTAGTTTGGTTCTACCTTTCCTCTACTTAAGTCCTGTCAACACGACCATACACACCACTCAAATAGAATTAGTGCATTTAATGTTGTTATTTAACGCACATTATAGACACTTAATGCCACATAGTAAGAGTTGACATTAAAAGATATGTGTCTTAAAAAATGTCCACTGAGCATAACTGTGATCTAATCTTTGGATCCAGATTAACAATTAACAGAGTGAACGCAAATGAAACAGTGGAAACCTTAAAGCGATAATGAGTCAGCATACGAGGAGGCGAACTGTTAAAGGAGTGGCATGGAGTGAAATGGGAGCGACGAGGAGAATCGAAGGGAGGTAGAGTCTTTGACAGGGAGGTTGGCAAGTGCCAAAAAGGAACTGAACGGAGCAGAGACTGAAATTTAGTGAGAAAGGGGTGAGGATGTTTCCTAGGAGTTGAAGTGGGACTGGAATGTGTGTGTGTGTGTGTCCCAGACCCCCTGTGTGTGTATGTGTGTGTCTGTACACTAGCTAAGCTCTGCATTCATTTTGTAAAAACATGGTGGCGAGTAAAGCTGCTTTATTGAGCTGGAAAAACTGTTAGTCTCTGTTGTTTCTGAGTTAAACACATGCACACACACAATGAGTGAAAATGTGCAATATGTTTGGACTTGCTAAGATTCTTAACTGGCTTTTACTGATTGAGATTTGTGTGCCTTTAGGGTGCTGTGTATGCTTCACTTGACAGTCATTAGTGTTGAGAAACAGTTTATAAGAACACAGACCTGTCTCAGCCTACCTCTAATCATTTTGGAATGATGAATTGAGAGGTGTCAGATTGGTGGCCAAGTTAAACAAGACTCGATGCTAGTTTCATTGGCCAATTATTGCAGTTATTAGACACGCTCAGTGGATGGTTTTTAAGAAGAAAAAAATGTATTTTTCTCTCTATATCAATTTCTCCCAAAAGAAGAGGCAATAATAGTAGCTACCTGGACATAAAACAATAGCAGCAAACAATTAAGATGTGGTGTCATCAATAGATAAGATAAGTTTAATCCTTAAAAGGAAAATAAGTCAATTCCAACCTTAAGTTATTTTACTTCAGCTTTTTACAGAATGAATTATTGTTGTATTCAGATTTTATATTTGGATAAAAGAATAAGAAAACATTTCCAGGATTCATTTTTATACAAATGAGTCATACAAATCCAGCAGCAGACGGAACAAAACGTCAATACAAAACTTACATTCAACAAGCCTACATAAGCAAACTTCTATTTGCATTAGAAATAAGAAATGAAATGAGAAACTGTCCCCGCCTGGATACAATTAAACTTTCTCAGTCGTCACTGGCAAGCATAAAAATGCTACATCAGTTCAAACAAGTGTGTGTGTGTGTGTGTGTATGTGTGTAGACTTGTGCAGGGGGAAAAACTGCGATGACTCGTCAGTTTCTGCCCTCGACTCTGCAGATCCACAAATCAACACACAAACACACACGTACACACTTTGCTGCAGGCTCCTCCCGTCTGCTTCTTGATCACTCACACCTGCTCTCCTGACCAAGTGCACAGTGCCCCAACACGCACACATTGAGGTTCATGATGCGCACATGAATAGACACACACACACGCACCCGACTGTCTTTACAGGGTTAGAAACTGCTGCATCATTCATTAGTTTAAATGTGATGGCTTTCTGCCAGATTTCTACTTTCATTCAATTACATGTCTTAACAAGACCATGTCACCTTCATCACCATCATCAGACTAAGTTTCTCATCATAGCATCGCACCACAATGTTTAGTTCAACTCTGTCTCAGGAATTCAGGTAGGAAGGGGAATCGACGTGTGGTAAACAGAGCTCAGTAGTTCTGTTCAATTGTCAGATCACAAACAGAGTAAGTCTCCAGGCAGTGAACTGTTAGTCACAGTCTTCAGTTCTGCTCATGTCACACAGCATGCACATGGCTCTACATATCACACAGTTTATATGTTTGCTGTTCTGCCACTGCTTTTCCCAGCTGCACTTTTTTTTTTTTTTCTTTTGGCAAAAGTGTTGATGTCTTTAAATAGTTCTCCTGTATTTCGCTTACCTGAGGAGTGTTTGATTTAATTTCCAGGTCCTCGGAAACGAAGTGGAAATTCTGGCTTGAAAACTGAGATAAATCCAGCACTCCTTGCTTCCCCTGTCCCCCAAAAACGTGAAGCAGTATTCTTGTCATTTATTTTGCCGTGTAGTGACTTCAGTTTGCTGGCTTCCTTTTTGAGTGTTTGTGTGTTTTTTGCTTGCATCTGTGATGTGACCTTGTGTAACAATTCCCTTCTTTCCACCTCATGTTGCTGTGTTGCTGTCTTGTTACGATGCTGCTGCATCAGTAACAAGCACAATATTGTGAGAAACTCTTGAAAGCATTGCTTTAAGAGGAGTTTTGTTGTGGTGAATATAAGTGTTGATGCATTGACTGGACATGTGATTTTAAAGTTAAAGTGCAGGACATTTTATTTTTTTTATTTAAAGCTTTGCTTAAGATCTACTTCACACAGTGTAATGGCTTGATTCGCAAAATAGTGGTTTGTCATATTCTTATTTTCTTGATCGCTAATTTTTAGGAAAATTATTTTTCTTTTGTCCAGATCATTGTGAACACTTAATTAGTCTCTTAAATATTGACTGACTTGCATTGTAAAATTGATTTCTCATACAGTGTACTCTCTTGAAGCACAAAGGATGCCATCCTTCCCATGACTATCCCGTATCTCATCTCTCCAGTCTGCCCCAGTACTCTTGGAAAGTCTCTTTTTCTGGACTTTATTTCCCTGTATGACGACTGCTCAATAAACTGCCTGTATTGATGTTTTGCTCCATACATTCATGTCTTTATGGAGTAGTGGTCATTGTGGAAATAAATACTAAGGGAGACATACTGAGGCCCTATTTGTGAAGGCATTATCAACTATCAAAGGCATTTTTGCCATAAGGTCATACTTGGCACATTATACGATGATGTAATGCTTTTGTGACTCAAGGCCCAGAATCTGTTGAGCACAAATGGGGGTTCACATTTTTTCAAAGCCCTTATTTGACTCTTGGAAACTATCCATTCAGTGTAATTTGAAGTTTAAAGGTCAGTGTTGTTCACATGTCAAAATAGGGCCTCAAACAAGAGTGGAAACTGGGTGACCCAAAGCTATGAATCCAAATTACCCACGATCTTTTCTCACTTGTCCTCCTCCGCTCTCCTCCAGGCTCCATCTCGTCCCCGGGGTGGCGCAGAGGATCTGTGACTCCTCGGGTCACCACCATTCCATGCCCCGGCTGCCAGCACGACATCGACCTTGGCGAGCGCGGCATCAGCATGTTGTTCCGTAACTTCACCCTGGAGAGCATCGTCGAGCGCTACCGCCAGGCTGCCCGCGCAGCTGTCGCCATCATGTGCAACATCTGTAAGCCTCCACAGCAGCAAGAGGCCACGAAGAGCTGTATGGACTGCAAGGCTAGCTACTGTAACGAGTGCTTCAAGCTGCACCACCCCTGGGGCACGCCCAAAGCTCAGCACGAGTATGTTGGCCCCACCACGAATTTTAGGCCCAAGGCAAGTACCGTCACTGCCAGGGGAAGGCTTTATATTAGTTCTTTGTTATTTTCATTCAACTGGACTATGGACATCTCTCAGGAGATAGGTTGTCGCGAGCATTGATTGCTGGTCAGGAATGTCTCTCATTCACGGTATTTGGCCCTCTGAATAAATTTAGAATATATCAGAATATATGAGGAGTTGAATTCATTATTTTTGCTTCTGTGACTCTGATTCATATCTGATCATAAAATACTTTCAAACTGTGAAGTCTGTTGGAAACTTGACTTACTGCTCTTTCCAATCCCTTTTTGTTGGTCTAAAAGCCGCCTCGAATAAATTCTAATGAGGATCTTGCCATTTTAAAAAGTGCTGATTTAAATTCTATTTTCAGACACATCAGGAAATGGCTCACAGAAAGCTGTCTGGATGCTCTTTGAGTTTAGGCCATCTTCCTGTTTCACTTCAGTAATTTTTGATCATTGTAGAATATAAAAGGCTGTTACGTGTGTATTTTGTCTAATTTTAACTGATTCTGTTTATGTCGCAGGTGCTCATGTGTCCAGAGCACGAGATGGAGAAGGTGAACATGTACTGTGAGGTCTGCAGACGACCCGTGTGTCACTTGTGTAAGCTGGGAGGATCTCACGCCAACCACAAAGTCACCACAATGAGCAGTGCCTACAAGATCCTCAAGGTACCACAGTCAGACACTGACAACAGATAGGTTGGCTACTTGTGAGGGGGTGTTGATTTGAATACACTGGAATTAGTTTTATCTGTGATGACAAAGGAGTAACACAGTACTAGCTTATGATAACGAGGGTTAAACAGAGTTTTGAACACAATGCCACTGTTAAAGGCTTGAAATTCGGGAAAAGCGGCCTTAGAACTTGAAGTTATTGATGTTTTTACACTATTTTGTGATGATACTTAGCAATTAAATATCGTCATCAATTAAATCCACATCATGCGAAACCCCCTCTTTTAGAATATCTGATTAATATCTTAAGTTTACATAAAGAATCCATTCAAGGTAGATTTACATAACTGCATTTAATAAGCTGAAACTGAGTAAAAGCCTTTCGATGAGTAATATCTTTCCATTCGGTGGGATTAGAGCTGGGTCATTGCTAAACTATTTAACAAAACACCTTAAGAGCAGGGTTTTTGTTGTGCTATTCACCATCCACTTCCTGGTCCCCGAACCTCTCATCTCCTGCTGTAATATTAATGCCTGACCTGTACCTGTGCTGGCATGCACCAGGCTGTATATCAATCTCTTTTTGTTTGGGAACTGAAACCCTAACTGGGTTAGAGCTAATTGGTATCACGTGCGGTCATCAGATTTTATTTGCCACTCAGTAGAATTAATCAGTTTGAGTGTTTGGTTTAGCTTATGTGGAGACAGAAATGTCTGGAGATTAGGTTTTAGGGCTGTTTGGTTGCTATGGCAGCACAAAAGAACGTCGAGCCTTTAACAGGATAGGTGTTAAGTGAAATATGTTGATGGTAATTGAATCAGTTTAGTGGACTTGATGGTAGGTGGTTGAGCAAGTTGAGGCAGAATCTGTGAAATTCAATCTGCTGGTCTGTGTTGACACAAACAGCACAGTGTTTAATATTTAATGAGACCATTTGTTCCCCACGATTTTGTGTGTATTGTGTTTTTCAAACTGTCAATAGATGGATCAGATTTCCTGAACAGTCCTGGAAGCCTTTGTCAGCCAGGAAGTCGTGTGGGTTTCAGTTGCTTTGAACAGTGCTGCACTGTCATATCATTGTGATACTATACTGAATGTTGTTTGACATGCTGCAACCACTGAAACAGGCTCTCAGGCTGCGTCACAGAGGGTCATACCGGACACTCTGCACACGTCCACAACTTTAATCAATCAGGATATATTCACAACAGCAGCTACAACCTAAAGTAACGTGAGAGCTGATGCTTGGGAATGTGATCACATGAGTGGACATTCATAAATCCCACTCTGTTCCTTTTTTAAAATGGCGCATATTTGAATAAAGTTTTGTATGTAATGCAATGTTAAGGGCAGATTTTTCTTCTGTAACAGTTGCATCTTATCTGTTGTTGTGGATGTGCTTCAGTGTTTCAAGAGCTTATGAAACTCACTTTATATGCTGCTGGTCTTTTCTCTCACCAGGAGAAGCTGGCCAAGAGTATCCATTACCTCATCAGCAAGGAGGACCAGGTCAGGACTCAGATTACAGACCTTGATCTGCTCATCAGTCAGACCGAGGTGAGAGAGAGAGCTGACTCACGCTGCTGCAACTCAAACATCCTTTCCACTCTACTCCCCAAAATTAGTTTTTGTTTATTTTTGGATCTTTTTATTCATTTTCTTTCCTTTTTTTCATTTGTTTTTATTTTCCAAAAGATGGTTTCTCTTTACTATTGATATTCATAAGCATTGAACTCCACAGGTAAAAGGAATTGATTTGGTCTCTCTTCAAGCCATTTTCTTAAGTGGAGACATTTAAAACTGAAAATATTCAAGTGATTATGTTCCTTTATCTGCTTTAATTTTCTAATTTAAGATCGACCACTTCTGGTCTTTAACGCCCTCTACTCCTCCTTTTCCTCCTTCTCCAAGAGGATTCTCCTCAATTGTATTAACAGTTTTCTTTCCTTTCTTACACTCTTGAAATATAGTTGATTTGTTAGTAACCATTAACCATAATGAACAAATTATATATTTGAATTCCTTCCCTTACACCATACAAATATTTATACAGCTTTCACAAAACCTGTCTGTTAAGTTGAGGATTACACATTTTGTGTACGAATAAGGAAGGTCACTAAACAAACAGTATGCAAATACAACAAACGAGGAAATGCAGGATTTGCCTACCAGTTTCCTTCATGCAGTTTCGGCCTCTGAGCTTCTTCCCCTTTTTACTATGACGCTGGTCCTAAATGGGTAGTGTTCGAATACACCTACGCGTGTGTGTGACTGATATGTTAAGGACACTTTCTTTTTTTAAACACTTTTCTATGTCCATTAATCTTTCTCTCTATATACTTAAGCTGTGTAATGTGAACTTTTAAGCTCTTACTTTAATGAGGATTACCTGAAAATAGGGTTGACATACAGTACATCCTAAAACATTTAACTGTATTTACATCCACCTTCTGTCAAACCGAAGTTTTAAATCCTACAAATCAAGTCAATTAATCTGATTCAGTGCTCTGAACCTTCTGAAGAAATACTAATAGTATGGGTATGTTTGGGAAGAGATCTATGAAAGTAACGTTGTATATTAACTTTGTACAAACTGCTAAATTATTTCATCCTTGTTTTCTTAAAGGAAAATGGCCAGCTAGCAGAGCGTCAAGCCAACGAGCACTTTGAGCGTCTGTTTGAGACTCTGCAGGAGAGGAAATCAGAGATGCTGAGGTCCATCGAGCAGTCACGAAACCGACGCCTGGACCACCTCAGGGCCCAGGTATGAAATATCAGGACTGAATTTAATTTCTATTGTCTATTTTCTTAGGCTTCTGGTAAGTACAAAGCAACCTGTTTTTAATGACTGGAATCTGAAAATGCTATAATGTCCTGACTTTTTGAAAATATGTCCCAGGTGGAGGAGTACCAGGGCATGCTGGAGAACAGTGGTCTAGTAGGCTACGCTCAGGAGGTGCTGAAAGAGACCGATCAGTCCTGCTTTGTACAGACTGCAAAGCAGCTACACACCAGGTAAAGCTGGATGACACCGACAGTCATTTTTCGCAAGATTTTAATTTAAATTAATGATGAAATGGTTTTGAAATTTTGGTTGTTTCACATGACCTTTCTGTTTTTGTTTTTCTCTTACTTACACAATCATTATATTTATGACAAAAATCTCCCAAATCCCAAAAGATGGCTAGCCTCATATCACAACGTTGATCAACAAACTATTACTACAATGTGTATGCATCTCTGGCTCTGCATTAATGACATACAAGTTCATGTAATAGAGGTTAATGATTTTTCAAATAAAGCAAAAATAATACTTTTACAGACATCATTCATGGCTGACATCAAAAACATACCAGCATATATGTAAATACATTGTACTACTTCTGTAAAATAAGACTTAAAATCTCAAAGTAATTGTCAGTGGTGATGGCAGTCAGTAATTTAGAGGGAAATAATCGAACAGTGCACTTAAGCATTCCTCTGGTGTCTTGAAAATGTCCTGCTTCAACCTAATAACAGGAAGCTGAGTCAGGCCTGTCCACTAAAATCCTGAGCGTAAACTGCTATTTTTACGCTCAGGGGAGCAGTATTGCTAATTAATAACTAAGCCGCTTAGTAATGATTATCGATATAAATTCATTACAGATTACAGAAGCTAAACCTGATTGTTTAAATAATCAGACTGAATACAGTTATGGTATGACTCGTATTGTATTGCCCACATACAGTTAATCATGAAGGACGTCTACCTGTTTCTCAGTGGATTTCCTAAGTGGGATTTAGCCTGTTTTTATTTTAGTGTTGAGAGCATCAATCTGATTATGTGTTTGGGTGACTGGAGTGTGTCAGGAACACACAAAGCCACGTGCACTGAGGTTACCCAACTCGAGGGCAGTTAAGGAAAGCGTCCAGTCAACGCTGTGTTGAAGTGTCTTCTGCTCTAAGCTGACTAATTGATCTCCATTAGCAGCTTTGGATAATCAGAAAACCTTTTCACTCTCAAGAGCATGATATTGTGGCCTGTACAGTTTTCTCCTGTTGACGAGGGCTTGATTTCTAATCCTCGTTTTCACTTATGAGTCAATATAAATATAGTTACAACTACATAAATGACCTGCAGTACAGGATTGATTAGAAAAGCAGGGAATAGTGCTCCTATTGTTTTGGTCTTTTTTAATTGTATTTAGTGAACTGTAATTTTATGCTTATCAAAAAAACCCTCCATTGATACATATTTTATCACGTTATGACTGCTTTGTATGTTTTCAGGATCCAGAAGGCTACAGAGTCTCTGAGGACCTTCCACCCTTCAGCCGACCCCTGCTTTGACGAGTTTGTGTTGGACACATCCAGAGAGGAAACTCTGTTGAAGGAGATGTGCTTTGGTGGAGGTACAACTGATTTTATTTCAGTTAAATGGTTTAAGATGAAAATGAAAGTAAGCAAAATGGTAAAAGAACTTGTGATTTCTGTAATTCAATTTTAGAGCTTTTTTTTTTTTTCTCAGATTATCTAGAAACGTCACTAATTCTGTGTTTAAGGACAAGCTGCAATGAAAGCCGATGACTATTCGTTCACATCAGTAAAATACAGTGACATTTTCTGCTTCTATTCATCTCTGAAGATCATTAATTTGTGTTTTGGACCAGTGGTTTTCAACACTCTTCACTGTTAATCTGCCAAGCTACAGTATAGTGAGTTATGGAATAATTACATCTTATTAAATGGGGCTCCCTGAGACTACATCTTATCACATACCGGTCCACCGCCTGATTTTGAAACCAAAAAGGTTGAGAACCACTGTTATCAAATAAAACTACGCTTGGTTAATAACGCAGAGGTTTGCCACTTAAAAAAAGTTACTTTATCAGAATGGGCTTGTTCTTTAAAACAACACATGTTCAGAATAAGCTGTTTGCCTTAACCTGCCAAGTACATGCACAGTCCTGTGAACTGTGCTGTGCTAAGAGGTCAGAGGTCATCTGTGTGACTCTAAATTGAATAAACAACCCTGGATAATGCTCATAGAGGATTTTACTGCTCTGTGAAGCTTTTTTTTCTGGTCTGCTGATTTACAAAGCTTGTTTTACAAAGGACTGCTCAGGTAGAAGTTTTCCCATGAGGGCGTACATACTTCTGAACTGGCATACTTACTATTTTTATTTATCTTTTTATTTAAGAAAAAAATATTTTAGATGTACTGAAACAGAAGAGGAAAGGCAAAAGAACCAAGTTATAGCCAACTTCGGCCCGAAGGATGACTGACTATATTGTAGCGTATTTTTTTCATTTCCACAAAATACCCATACAATACTTAAAACACAAACTTATGAGCTGTACCTTTACCAAGATTTGCTGTAAAAGAGCTTGTCAGAGTAAGGAAAACTATTTCTGCTAAATGTATTTAAGAAACTGAGAGCCATAAAGGACCGGACAACTTACCAGACATAACAAATGATCAAAAGTTTCTAAGCGCGAAGATCAAAAGTCTGCAGATAACTGAGCAGGCTGCAAAATTATCTAAATAAGGAAGTAATAATCACTGACAGATTAGTCAACGTGTGTGTGTGTGTGTCAACATTTGGTAAAAAACTTTGCTAATCACTGTCAGATGAAGGTGTTTGTTAACGTGTCAGATTTCCATGTGTATACTAAACAAAAGCTGGAGCATTACACTACCATTATCCACAGTCCCAACTGAACATCATCAACACAGTGTGGTGTTTATGTTGGATCCATCTTACTCACATTCCTGCCTCGACTGCACAATGATAGGACTGGGAGACAGACAGACTTGATAGGACTGGGAGACAGACAGACAGACAGCTTGATTAGGCGGGAGACATACAGGACAGGACATTTCAGGGACTTGATAAGGACTGGAGACAAGACAGACAGACTTGATAAGGACTGGGAGAACAGACAGACAGACTTGATAGGACTGTGGAGCACGACAGACAGACTTGATAGGACCTGGAGAAGACAAGACAGATCAGACTTGATAGGACTGGGAGACAGACTTGTTACGACCGGGTGATGGTTCTTGACATCTGGCTGCGTCTGGCTGCGGCTTGTTTTAAATGCCTTTAGTATGACTCGTCCCTAACCTGACAACGTTATGTGTGTCAGTGACTGGAGGGGGAGCAGTATTGAATATCATTTGTTGCTGATAGTGACAGTTAGTTGTGGCAGTTTTCAGTCGTAGTTAGTCAATTACCGTTGACTGGTCTGAGGTTTGGGGGCATCGTGGAAATGTTTTAAATGATAGGCTGGTCAGTGTCAATACAAAGTAACTGGTTGAGATTTGAGTGGCAGCTGTGCTTCCAGACTTTAGCGTTCAAAAAATGTTAAAATTATTGAGGGATTAAACATTGCTGACATCGCAGATAAAGCCGGGGTCTCTTTGGCGTAGAGCCATTATCCCTCAAGTGGATGCCACTGAACAACAGACAGCTTTGTTTGTCACCAACAGTCACTGAGACAACTGTGAGTGACAGGAGTTTGTGGCTTTGGGCTTTTGTTGCTACACTGGAGAGCAGCCCTGTTAGTTTGTTTAAAATCAGTGATGTGAGATTTATCTCCGAGGCTACGGTTGGCTCCGTCTGGAATTATGGGCCAGTGGACTAGGAATGAATAACTTCTTAATCGTTAAATAAATGACAGTAGAGTTGATTGTTAAAGAAAATGCTTTAAAAACTAATGTTTTAATGTTCTAATTTGATACTACTTACAAATAGATGGGTGTGGATGTGTTTATGTTGCAAGCCCAGACTTAAAAAGTAGAGAAATTGCATAAAAAGTCATGTTTTTACAGCAGTAATTCTGTAGGCATTTGTCCCATCTGGGCAAAGTCAGTCATTGGAGTAGCAACAATTCATAGGACACACTTAAAAAAAGGAGAGGGGGAAAACTGTGGAAGAACAATTGATAATCTGATCAGATTTAGTGTTTGTATTGTGTGTTGTGGTGTTTTTCCTTATTTCAATATTTTCATTAATATTTTCAGCCTAATTGGCAAAAGCCTAACTTGTAATAACTTACAAAAATTTGTTTTATTCAGATACATACTATAAACAGGATTATTTTTTTAACTTTAATCCTGGAAAAAATAGAAAATATTGCTTAGTTGTAGTGTTTCTGTCATTTTTTTGTGGTGTTTGTGTCATTAACAATTTTGACACATGAAAACTGCAGATGAGTAGAAGTAATGCAGATGTTAAATGCAAACCAAACAAGATGTTTTAAAGTGGAAATGGATCTGCCCTCTATACTGCAGTTTTCCTTTTGCATAAACAAACCCTCATATGATTCTTTTTCAGGGTAATCCTCATTTACTCTGTTCTCATGCTTTAGGCTTTCAGTCTAAACTGGCTTAAAATGAATGAATATTAATATTTTTGCTCTCCTGTAATCCCTACACTGGAGAAAATGGGCTTCTCGTATAAAAATGTACTGACTCACTGCTGCATCCTTTTGGGAAAGTGCTGCATGCTGCAGTTTCGTGGCAGTCATTGATGTGTGTCTTTAATTTAAGTGTCCTTTGGGAATTGATGATGCTATTAGCCTGAGCTCAGAGAAGAAGCAGCATTTTTACACTGCAGTAATTAAATAAATTAAGTTTCAACAGATGATGCAGCAGTTAAGAATCGCTATAGTGTCTCTGGATAGTGCCTGTAAGCTATACTGTACATCTATTATACAGACACACACATTGTAGTTTGGTTATAAGGATGTTTTGAATAACTCTAGGCTGATTTTTTTTTTTTTTAAATGTGAATATTTCTATTATTCATCTATCATAGAAAAACATAATATTATGCCCTTTTGTCAAGCAATGATTGCCAGCCGTTTTGTGGGCGTATAATGCTCTATGTGTTGGATTTTGCTCAATGCCTATAGCTTATCCATGCTTCTCTAGTCATATCTTCCACTCTTGGATAACGGCGTGTTTGTGCTCTCCCATGTTAACCCAGCTGTGGCCCTGCTGCAGGTTTTGACCCCATGCTCCGCTTCTCAAGAGGCTGTGAAAGACTGTGTTGTCAAGTGTAAATGCCCATTTGTCTTCCATTTCAAATTGGGGTTTCCTCAAAATGTCAGAACAGCGCTTCTGTCAACTCTTTCCACTTCCCCTTCAAAGATATTACAGCACCGGATAGAGTGTATTTGAGCTTTTCATCAGGAAACGTTATGTTGTCCAGTCTCCTTGCATTTGTAGAGTGAGTAGTGGAATGAAAATGAGAAAGTAGTTCCCTGCAGTGTAACTTGGCCTTTCTGTTGTCTGTCTGGCAGCAGCCTGTCCTGGCTGTGATCAGTAGTGGCGGGGGGGTGCTGCCTGCTGTGTTTGGTTTTTGCCTCTTGGTCCATCTGTTGGAAACAGGTGACAAACTTAAAATCTCATTTGTCAGTGTAGTGACTGCTTAGTGTCTTAAAGAACGCATGTATGTGATTTACACTGGAGTGGTAACTCACTACTATCCTTGCTTACTTACCTACTTACCTACTTACTTATCGGACGTGAATGTGGGGGATGGGTGTAATTGTGTTACAGGGGTTAAGAAGGAAATATGTTTTCTTATATTTTATTTGTAAGGGATAATGTTGATGATCAACACATAGAAATTAAAGATTAGACCCAAGGGTGGCTTTTCATCCATTCTCCCAGGCAAAATGTTAAAAAGCACTTTTAAAATAATGATTCAAAGTTCATTGGAACAGAAACAAGAAAGCTGGTCGAATAATGCACTCTCTATAATGTATCTGCACACATGGCAATGTAGTTGTGATAAAAGACATGAAGATGCACAGGGCTGTAAGAGGACAAACTCACGAAGGAGCTAATGTGCCTGGGAGAAAAAGACTTTGGAGATTGAGGATTATCCAAGTGACTTTGGAAGCTCTGAAAGTTCAGCAGCTGTGCTGACACTGGTCAGCGAGGGGGGGGGGCGGTCTATAAGGGAAAAAGCTTTAGACAAGAAAAGGATTTGGGATGTCAAAAGATGGAGAAAATGGGAAGAGTAGAGAACCAGAGAGAGGGGGAATATTACAAAGGAGATGAGGAGGGGAATTCTCACTGGGAGATGGATGAATGGCATGATCTCTCTCTAATAGATAGAAAAGTCAGTGACCTACATGCTGTTTCTGGAGAAAAAGGAGCTTTAGGTTGAGAGAACAGTAAATGATGAGGTGAACAGAATAATTTCAGAGTGGATGCTGTTGACATGGATGAGAGGACGGATGGGGAAGTGGTGCTGCTGTTCATGTAGATGAACGTAAAGATGGAAGTCTAAATGGAGGAAAAACAATAAATGTAATGAGAAAGGAGAAAGTGGAGTGGATGAAGGTGAAAGTGGGAGAGCGGAAGAGAGAGGTGGCAGTGGGGGGGGGGGGGGTTTCAAAGTGCATTTCCTGGCAGTCTGTGAAAACCTCTTAACAGGCTCCATTATGCAAGACAGTCTTGTCCATTGTCCCAAGTGGATAGTCCTGATCCTGACAAATCTAATCTTTGCCACACTTAACACTGCTGCATTTGCTTAAACCCAAGTTACTGAGCTAAAGTACTATACCAAGCACGATTAAGAATTTCCTTGCGTTGAGTTTAGTTTCAATTATGTATGGTAGGTTTACGTTTTACTAACGAGTTATCTTTCTTTTCTCCATATACTGTCTTACTGCTCTCCAGTTCCAGACCCTCCTCTGATTGATTTGTCCAGTAGCAAAGTCTACAACGAGGCCTCAATCTGCTGGAGGCTGTCCGATGACCACCTGCCTACTGATCACCACATGCTTGAATACCGCAGGTGGGTGCAAACATACGAAGATCCACTGTTTCAGATCCACAGAAAAGCTGCAGGTGTGTGGAAACATTTAAACTACTTGACTATAATCTCCTTTCTCTCCAGACTCGGGGGCCCGAGCCAGTCCCCATCCCAGGAGGACGGTGAGGACAGTGGGGTCTGGAGGGCTACAGACAGGGTGTACGGCCCCAGCGCTGTGGTGTGTGACCTTGACCCCAACAGCCTGTACGCCTTCAGGGTCCGGAGCTGCAGGAACTCCATGTTCAGCCCCTACAGCCCCGAGGTCACCTTTCACACACCACCTGCACCTGGTAAGCCTTTGTGGTGTGGGGAAATTTGCCCCTGTGATGGGTGTGTGTTGTTGGTCTGTCCTTTGAGTCTTTAGTTTGATGTCACTGGTAAAGGAGGAAGGGAGGTGTTGAGGCAACGTGAGTTGGTTGAGTTCCTGAAGACGAAAAAAAAAAAAACATAGCATAATCTTTGGATTTCTTTCTTAAACTCAATCAATTCAGACTGTGTTATTGTTGTGGATGCTAAGTGCATTCATTAATTGGAAAACTGTTATTTACAGGATTAAGCTGCTGGCTATCGGAGAACCAGCCCCTATTATTGGGCCTCTTTTTGGCCAAGGCACCAGCTAAGCTCCTCTATCCCCTTTACCTCTCAGAGCACGTCTGAGTGTTTTCCATCGGGCTCGATTTTTAGGAAGATTAGCGGATGACAAACGCTTCACTGTTTTTTAAGTTCTGTAGCATGCACGGTGGAGGTAATGAAGCACAGTGGTGTTTTTAGTTCATCACGATGGTAATGGCTTTTGTGTTTTCAGACGGCCAAAACCAAAATGGCTTTTGTCTGAGTGTGTGGGAGTGAATTGTGTCGTACAGCGCGACAGCTTGGAAAAGAGAGCTGCAGTTGCATCTGTTGCTGCCTTTTTAAGCTGCCTGACAGACGCAAGGTGGAATTCATTAAAAATGATCATCATCCCCAACCATCTGCTGAACTTGAATTCAGATCGTATCCTCCCAGTCTCTTTGATTTATACTCCCCTTGTTTTTGGGCTCCTTGCTGTGGAGAAGTCTGGGATTTGCAGGTGGTTTTCTGTGTCAATTAGTTTTGACACACTTCTGTCTTTCCCCCCCCTCCCACGGCAGGAGCCTGCATCAAAAGTCCATCGCACACGTGCATACATGACACGTCACTCCCTGATCTGATATGGCTGTGCGTTGATTTGCGTCCTGCACAAGCCTTGTCATTTGTGTTGTGACTGGAGCTTCCACATTCCTGTGCTCTCTGGTTCGTGTAAGACTGAGTGGATGGATTCACTGTGCGTCAGTAATGAGGTGAAATTTTAGGCCAGGGTGAAACGCAGAGGACAAAACATGCACTCGCTCACACACACACCCAAACACACACACACACGACGCTGCACGAGGGGGACACAGTTGCACACAACAAATGTTTTTCTTTTTTTCAGCTATACAGTTGCTTAAAATTCTGACCACATTAAAACATGTAACCTTTTAGGCAGCATTTCTAAGTGTTAATACTGACTCCTTTTGTAAGTAGGGCATCATTTAGTCCCTTATAACCTATCATGAAAACATCATGTTTAACAGTTAATATGCTGGTTGTGTAAAAAGTAAATCCCCCTTTTATGTTTTAGGCCAAAACTGAATGAAACAGAACTAAACAAGGCTGTGGTTGAGTTTTCTGTCCCAGGTGTCAGCATTAACTTACAAAAAATACTGCTTCTTAACTGGATGTGAAATTAAAATATATCTGCTTTGGGACCAATTTCATGCTACATCAATTATCTTTGCCCCCATTTCTTTTATTATTTATTAAATGATTGGTAGCATCAACTTGCAGTACTAAGCAAATATCACAGGTTCTCGTGCAATATGGATCTTTTTTTCTTATTGAAAATGACACCAGTTCCACTTAAACACTTAGGAGATGGGCAAAGCTGATTCATTATTTTTGGTAAACTAACCAACTTGGAGAATACCACCTTGTATGCTCCAAAAGATGACACACATTACATTTTAGGTGTTTAGTTTAGCCTGACATGATCACTGCCAGTATTAGTGCATCCCTACTACATAACTTTGCATAAAACTGCAGCATTGTTGTCTGGCCTGTAGGCAGGCTTATAATATTATAATGATCATGGCCTAGTTGTTCGAAGGACTTCCCTAGACACATGCAAATTAACTGGTCTTCCCCAGTGTAGATCTCGGATTGCACGGGATGGTTGAGTGAACAGGCATAATTATGTCAGCGTATATGTGTCCTGGATTATAGTAATTGTGGCCTTTGGTCCATAAACTATTTATAGAATGCGTTTAATTGTATCCAGATGAGGAATATAAATGGCAGCTGCACGTGAGAAATGAGGAGTGAGTGTCATTAGGCTGTTATTCTTCATGGTGTGATGATGGCAAGTGGGTCTTTGTGTAGCTCTTTAAGATTGTGCTCTAGCGCCCTCATGTGTCGGTTTTTGTCACCTACCCAATTCCAAACCTGTTTATTCCCCAACAGAGGGAATAAAACACTGCCTTTAGCACAAGTTGTACCCACTCTGAAAATCTGTTGTCTTATGTCTGTTCGAACTTCCTTTTTGTCCACCTTTTCTGTCTTTTTTGTCTGTCCTCTGACTCATTCGACCTTTGTCTCTTCACATGCAGCTTTTGGATTCCTGTTCAGCGACAAGTGTGGCTTCAGTACGGAGCGGCTCATTCTGAACAAGCGACGGGACACTGTGGAGAACGTAGCAGGCATGGCCTTCCTCCTCGCAGCAGATCGTGTGCAGACGGGCAGCTACATCGGACTAGACTACATAATTGGGGACACGGGCATCTCTCAGGGAAGGTACGCCAAGAACTGACAACACTGGGTCTTTGTACAAAACAAACAAGTTGTGCCCAGAAGCATAATTTATTTGTTACAAAACAAATTACTGTCGATTGGGGTGAGCCTCAATGTAAGAAGAAGTCATTGAGAGTTAAATCTAGGCAAAAATGACAGAACACACACGGTGCAGCACACAGTGTGGAAGCTCACTAGTATCCTGCTTATTAGACTATCAATATATCATGCTTTATAAAATATTCAAGAGAGAGGGAGCAGAGATGGAACTTTTATTTTTGCGCACAAGGTGGGAGGATTATATATTATTATGTCATTTCTGTACCATCTTTACCAGCCGCCATGATGCAGAAGAGTGATATTTAATCACTGAGGACATTTTTGCACCAGGGATGTTCAGGGACAAGTCAGAAAATGAGTGTGTCCATGGATCATCATCAATTTCCAGTCCTGCAATGAAACATGGAATTGTTTGTTTTGTAGACACTACTGGGCCTTCAAGGTGGAGCCGTACTCCTACATGGTTAAAGTTGGAGTGGCTTCTGACTCAAAGCTGCTTGAATGGTTTCACAATCCCAGAGATACCAGCAGCCCAAGGTAAGTGCGAGCACAAGATGTACACACAGCTATCATCGACAGTTTATCCGTAAACAGTAAAGATTTGGCGAAAGACTGTTGTACCTATTGTTTATCTTTTAACTTAGACATACCTGACTGCAACACATACTGACACAAACAATCTCAGTACAGTGATAAGTGTGTTTGAGTCATACCTAATCCTGTGATGTAAGAGAACCAGTATAAACTCGTAAAGAGCTTACTCACAGACAAAGCCTGCCTTTCTCACTGGATCAGCTCGTGTAAAAGCATGTAAAGGAACACATTATTTACACAAATGCATATTAATTCTATGGTAATTGCATAATGCATGCACGGGTGATAAACGCCACGCAGCATTCAGCTAGTCATTTCAAGGTTGAGTATGCATTTTTACCGTTAATAAAAATGTCCCTGTTTGAGAGGAATAGTTAATCAGTTTTTGTGGCTTTTCTAATGGTAATTAAATAATTCCTACATCTCTGTAGCTCTTAGTCAACCGACAGAAAATGAATCCGTTAAATATTTCACTAATGCACTTTTATCATTTATCATGTTTATCTATTGTCTGAGTTGTCTGTATATAATAAAATATATAATGCTTTTGTCTAATATATTATATATTTTGTATTAAAATATATATTGTTTCTTTTACTGCAAACCAAATCTACTTGCAGGTACAAATAAAGTAACCTAAATTAATTAATTACCAAGAATTTAGTTGTTGAAACCCTTTTTAAAATGACATTTTTGCAGTTTTTTGAGTTGTTGTCTGTAAGTTTGACATTTGAAGACACCATCTTTGGCTCTGGGAAATTTTGATGGGCCCCTTTCTCCGTTATCTAACATTTTACAGAGAAAACTATCAATCGAGAAAATAATCAGCAGATAAATTGCTAATGAAATTAATCATTCATTTTTCACACTTCCATTCTCACTTGATGATCCGGGGCAGATTATATCCATTTTACATACGATTATGACTTTGGCTTTGACGTAAGTTTCAAAACACTTGCCTCTCATCTTCCTTTCACCAGGTATGACCATGACAGCGGGCATGACAGCGGCAGCGAGGACACATGCTACGAGCTCTCCCAGCCCTTCACCCTCCTCACCCTGGGCATGGGCAAACTCTTCATCCCTAAGACTTCTTCCTCCTCCTCCGTTTCCACGGCAAACGCCCCGCCCGGCGACCCTGGCAACCGCGTGCTTCCCATGCCACAGCGCTTGGGCGTATGCCTAGATTACGACGCATGCCGTGTGTATTTCTACGACGCCGACACCATGAGGTGCCTTTACGAGAGGCAGGTGGATTGTTCAGGAACAATGTATCCAGCGTTCGGCCTCATGGGCAGCGGCAAGGTCCAACTGGAAGAGTTCATCACCGCTAAGAGACTGACCTTCTGAGGAGGGACGGGAGTGGGTTGATGCATTAGTTTCTGCGTCTAATTAATCTATGGCATGTTCTGGGAAGGGAGGGTTTTATCGACAGGGTGATGGAGTACAATCCAACCGATGAGGCAGATGTGATAAGGACCTTTATGGGTCCTAAATGTGAAAATGGGATCTCTGCCAGAACTGGCCTATTTAGAGTTGGTATGTAATCGTGTATGATCCACATACAAGAGCATGCCACTGAATATTAGTGTCCACGTACAAATGTCTCCAGAGATTGGTATATATGGTATGTGAAAGGTCTTCTCTACATACCAAAGTCTCTGTTTCTATCTCTCTATTTGACATGGTTTTAATTGTCAGCTATAATCAGCTGTTAATGCAGTGTAATTGGCTGCAAAGTTAGTCTGCAGCTACTTTAAATCTTTATGGTTTTAACATTAAACGCCTTCGAGCTCACACTTACACCTCTTCTGTTGCCAGGTTTATGTTCATAGATTATTTTGTGTGTATTGATTATTGGGTGATCTTTGTTTCTTTGGCTCCTTTCTGTAACTATTTGTCTAAATGTAGCAGCATAGGTTTAGATGTAATCTTGGTGGACCTGAGAGAGCCTTGTAGCTACTTTTAAAGCTAGCGCCTTTGTGCCTTTTTTTTTTTTTTTAGGGAATGGCTCACTTAGTTTGCTCTAGCAAGCAGATGTTGGTGTCTTTGCACAAGCATTATGGACATGTTTATCAGCATAAATACTGTATGTGAGTTTTTACTGTAGGTAGAGTTTGATCACAGACACTGGTGTCAAAGTTATAATAGTTAATAGTATTCATTATGACTTGTTACTCACTTATTTACTCTTGACTTCATCACAGAAAACACTACTTTTCTTCCATGTCACAATTATTATTATTTTTTTGTTGAGCTGTTTTTGCACAATATGATGAAAGAAGCCTCGCACATGATAAACCTTTACAATCATCACGTATTGATCACTACCTAAATAGCTTCTTCACACTTTTAAATGTTGTAAACATAATCAGCACATAGATGTCACACGGTGACTGTCACACTCACACACATATTCACCTTTTCCTAATATGAGCAAGCATGACTCCTGGAATACTTACTTGGATTTAAAAGCCTCTCACTGTTTGCACAGCACTGAAAGTGGCTTTCAGCATCATAAAACCAGCCAGGTACCAGAACACCTTGTACTTGTAGTCAACATTAGTTTGACAGCTGCAAAGTCACTAATAGCCAAAGCGTGTTGGTTTCTGGTGCTGACTTAAGTGCAACTCACAGCTCCGTGTTTCTAACAGCCTTTAAACACAGTTAGGAAACGAACAAGAAACACAGTTATGCAGTTCTTACAAAAGTGCTATCGCTAAACACACTGTTCAGTACCTTTTTTACTATCAAAACCACCGTTTACTTGCAGTGCAGACACAGGAACTGTAACATATTAGCATGTCACCGGTGAGTTTGGCTATCAGACAGACACCTAAGTGGTTGATTGGCTTTGATTTTAAAATGGCTCAGATATTCAAGTCTAAGACGGCACACTAGACAGACTGTTTGCTTGGCAACCACACTTGTGTTTTGTAATTGACGTATACTGTAAATGTGCCTGCACGTAGGGTTTGTTTGTACATTCATGTATATTTTGATTTCTGGAGGGTTAGGGTAATCGGTGTGTGCGTTTTCTCAGGTTTCTGGCCCTGATTTGGGGCCTAATGCTACCTACCTCTATCCGTCAGGCCTGGAAAACCTTAACTACTGTACCTTTCCTCACAGAAACGAGTTCGGTTTTGATTTGCAGCTTTGTCCACAACAGTCAGTTCGATATCTCCGCCTTCTCTCTAACGTCAGATAATAAGCTGATCTTTCAAAATGTTTGATTTAACTTCCATGTACATATTAATCCAGAGTATATTATTTTCAGTGAAATAAAGTACATCTTAAATGTTATTAGTTGGTATTTGCTTGTGGACTTAAAAGACGTGTGTCACTATTGGTGGAAATAACTGTAAACGGATGTTACTTTGTTCGGCTGCCTTTTTATCAAGGGAGTGTTTTTCAAATGGTTCTAACAACCTTTTCTTCCTCTGTTTTGTGGTGTTGGTTTGATTACTCGATTTTAAATATTTCTGTTATGAGTGTGGAAGTTTTTGTTTTGGGTTAAAAGCATTTAATAAACTCATGTTCTTGCATTTAGCTGAACAGAAACGTTCTCCAGTCTCCAAATGAAATAATGGATTTCTGTGACTGTGCATATTGTCTCACAGGTGTTTCTGTCATTGATTTCACTCCAACCATCAGAGGTCACAGCCATTGAACCCTGACTCCTGTATTTAAAAAAACTGACTGTTTAAACATCTTCAAAACATGTCTATGCATTTATGAATTTACAGGGCAGGTTCATGGTTTAATTCCCATCACAGAATGTAATTATTGTCCTGTTAACAAACCGCTGAATGTTCTCTCTGTGTTGGTTTTCTTCTATTAGTTTGTTCCACTCTGGTCACAGCACAGTTGTTGTGTAGTTATAGACATATGATAAAAAGGCTTGTAATCTCAACATACACATTTTTTATTATTATTAAAATGCATGCCTAGCCTGCTTTTTCAGTGATAAATTTAGAACCAAATATTATCGCAGGCTGGCTCTCAATCTAATTCCAAGCTAGCACTTTAAAAAATCTGTAGCGAGTCAGCGACAGGTGTGTGTGTATAATAAATGTGTGCAATATTATTAAACAGGCTGTAGAGTAGACATAGGCCTGTTAAGACAGTTTGCACTGTTAATAGTTTAGTTTATATTGTGGTTTTTAAATTGGGCTTTTCCTTGGTACAAAGTGAATTTTAAACACTACTAAATTTGTT